ACAGAGGGGAGAGCTAAGAGGGGGACACAGGCGGTGGGAACCCCACTGGGGCTGTGCTGCCTGATCAGAACCCGAGCTCTGGAGCTGGTGGAGACTTTTAAAGCGGAACGGGGGGTAGGGGCATTTTTGTGGCCATATTAGAAGCCCAGACACTCAGCCAGCCCAGCCCCCTCTCCAGACCTGTGTCGTCATGTCTACGTACGAGGGAGATCACGCTGGTCTCAGAGCTCATTCCTGTCTGCGTAGTCGGGGGTTTGGGACAGCCAGCGGGTTTTGTTGAAGATACATTTGACACATTCTGGAATCTCTTTCCATTGAGTTTACTGACTGTTTCCTAAAGAGCAGCCAGGTCATAGGCGAGGCACGAGGGGAGAGCCGGGGACCAGGCTCTTGCCCCCTTGCCGCTGGCGAACTTTAAGGAAGGAAGGAGGGAATGGAGAAAAGAGGGTGAAGAAATGCGAATACCAGGACTTGTGCTGTGACTTAGGAGCCTGGAAAGTGCTGGGAGTTGCCTGAGAAGTAAACAGTTTGAATTGCACTGCGCAGGAGAGCTGCTTTCTTTTTTAATTATGGATACTCACCAGCATATGAGGGGAAAGAGAGAGAGAGAGAGAGAGAGAGAGAGGTAAGGGATGCCTATGTGTACATCACCCAACCTGGGATTTCAACACAGGGCCACTTGGTTCACAAGTAAAACCCCACCCGCTTCCTGCCGCAACCCCCACTGACTCGTTTCCTTTCAAATTCCAGAAAGTCATCATGTCGTTGGCATGCATGTCCGTGTGCATCTCTAAGAGATGAAGACTTTATTTCAATATAAGCACAACGGTTATTATAGCTACAGCCAGTTCTTTGATATCAAGTATTCAATAGTTTCATAAATATTTTTCTAGTTAATTTGTTCCAACGAGGATACAAAGTCGCTTTGTGGTCCCTTAGTTCTTCCTCTGTTTTTCCCTTGCAATTTGTTGTTGAAGAAACTGCATGCGCCATTCTGTAGAGTTTCTAAGTCCGGATTTTGCTGATTGCATTTTAGAACAGTCATTGTGTTCCTCCGCTCCCTGTACTTTGTATAAGCCAGCAGTTCAATCCCGAGCTTTATCAGACTTGAGCTCAGTGGTTTTGCTGGGCTGCTCTGGAAGGGAGGCCGGGTGTTTCCATCAAGACGTCCATAATGCCTCATGCTCCCTTTCTCTGAGGTCAGCAGGTGCTAATAAGCAACACCTAGCCACGATGATCCATGGCTTGACCCGGGGGACATCGACACAAATGGTAGCTCTGAAATTATTCTATAACCTGAACATGTATATCTCAAGAAATGTCTACTGTGTGTTACATCATCGTAAAAAAAAAAATTAAAGAGGGGCTGGCGTTGCGGGTCAGCAAGTTCAACTGCCACCTGTAATGCCTGCCGGTGTCCCCTATGAGCGCCAGTTCAAGTCCCAGCTGCTCCGCTTCCAATCCGGCTCCCTACTAATGCAGTCGGGAAAGCAGAGGAAGATGGCCCAACTACTTGGGACTCTGCTCCCACGTGGGAGACATGGATGGAGTTCCGGGCTCCTGGCTTTGGCCTGGCCCAGCCCTGAGCATTGCAGCTATCTGGAAAGTGAACCAGCAGAAGGAAGATCTCTCTCCCTCTCTCTGTCTCTCCCTCTGTCACTGTAACTCTGCCTTTCAAATACATAAAATAAATATTAAAGTATATTTCAGGAAAGCATACGGGCATATTAATGGGCAGTAGGGAGCTCCCGAGGGCTTTGTGCAGAGCTTGGGTGAGTCAAATACATGGGACAAAGCAGAGCACCTTGAGGATTAAAGTTAGGCCTTGGCAGCTCAAATTCTAGTTTCTGGACTTAAGGTCAGTTAAGTGAGTGGTTCCGTTGAGACACATACCCATGTGCCTCCCTACTGGATGCTTACTCCACAGAACAGATGGCACTTCTGCCTCCCACAGAATCATCTAGAAGGTGTCAAGCCGCCCTGGCCGGGAGATGTGCAAGGGCGCCCTTAGCTGCCTATGTGTGTACTAACACACCTTACAGCGCGTGTTTCCAGCTGCTAAGTAGTTTCCTGGGAACCTCAGCCAGGTTGGTTCTCACATTTTTGCTCAATTAATGCATGGCCCCAGAGAAACTCCCAGATGTGAGGCAAGGAGGGCGCTGGTGGAGTCAACTACCTAAAACAAAATCCCAGAGTCACCTCCTACAAGCTGCCTCCTCATAGGAAAATTACTTCACCCTTTCAAGCCTCAGTTTCCTCAACTCTGAAATGGAAGTATGAGGGGTGGCTGTTTGGCGCTGTTTGGGCTGCCCGCATCTTCTATTGGAGTGCCTGGGTTCGAGCCCCGACTCTGCTTCCTGTTCCACTTTCCTGCTAACGTGCACCCTAGGAGGTAGCAGGTGGTGGCTCAAGTATACCTGGGTCCTGGCACCCACATTGTAGAGCTCCGGGCTTTGGCCTGACCCAGCCCTGGCTGTTGCAGTCGTCTGGAAGAGTGAATCTGTGAATAGAAGCTCTGTCTCTGTATTTCTCACTCTCTCCCTCTCTCTCTCTCTGCATGCTGAAATGAATAATAAACAAACCAATAAGCACATATGATGGGAGTGACAACAGTCCCTTTCTCCTAATGTTGTTTTGATGATTAAATGAGCCAGCGCCCGCACAGCAGCAGCCGTGCGGTGAGGAACCAGGACATGTCGGTTGCTGTTCTGTGGAACCTGATTCCTCTGACGTTTGCTCCCACAGAAGAGGGAGTCTTGAAAGGGAGGCTAAGAAATAATGACTGATGAAAGTGGTATTGAAAATGCCTGTGTCCTCAGATCTATGAACATGACACCCAAGTGGACCAAGTTGTTTTGTTTTGTTTTGTTTTCTCCTAGTAAGGAGATTTTCTATAGTTGGGGAATGGGTGAGCCTTCTGCGAGTGTGAATAGGAAACATGTCATGATGATCATACAGATTGCCAGCCTACTTCTGTGACTCTTTGTCAGGGCCTGCCCATGCCTCCCGGGGAATCATAAAGGTATTAGAAACAAAGATATATTGAACATCCCAGAGATGATGTGTCCAGCTTTGGGATCTACAAGTGAATGAGAGGTTAAAATTTATCGCAGAGAAAATTAAAACAGCGAAAGCCAAATTGTCTCGGCTTGTCCTTTATTTTGGTTGATGAGGTCCTGGCCCGGAGGTCACTGATGGAGAGGTGGTAGCATAAGGAGCCAGGGCTGTCCCTAAAATTGGGCGCCTTTTTCAATTTAAAAGCCGTTTCCAAATGAGGCATTTTCCAGGGTCCTGTTTGCCTTACAATGTAGTCAGGGATCCATGCAACACGTAGACGCAATCTTCCAAAACTTCATGGAAAATGTGTGTGGGGGAGAAAACCACACGTGGATGGAACAGATTTTTGCACCAAAATAAACTTAGCTTTTAATTCCATTTTTCCATGACCTTTTTGAAGTACAGTCATACATATGGTGCATCTGTGGTATCAGATATAGTGTAGGGTTCTGGACAGCCAGTAGCAAGCAAGACTGCACAGCCTGACCTTCAAGGAGCTTAGACGCCAGTGGCAGAGATGAAGAAATGAGCAGTTATATTAAAAAGAAAGATATGATAACTTTAAGAGAACCCAGTCTCAAATAATAACCAGAATCAGTCAAGTTTTGGTTAAAAACCAAGAATGAATACCATATCTGTCCCCTCTGGTGTTGCCTTGGGCTCCTTTCTCATCATTTGGTCCTTAGATTTCTTTTTTTTTTAAAGATTTATTTTCTCTATTTGAAAGTCAGAGTTAGACAGCGAGAGAAGGAGAGGCAGAGAGAGGTCTTTCATCCTCTGGTTCACTCCCCAGTTGGCCACGATGGCCAGAGCTGCATTGATCCAAAGCCAGGAGCCAGAAGCTTCTTCCAGATCTCCCACATGGGTGCAGGGGCTCAAGCATTTGGGCCATCCTCTACTACTTTCCCAGGCCACAGCAGAGAGCTGGATCAGAAGTGGAGCAGCCGGGACTCGAACTGGCGCCACACAGGATGCTGGCACTGCAGGCAACAGCCTTACCCACTATGCCACAGACCAGCCCTAGACTTCTTAAAGCATCTCCCAAATAGCAAATTTATCATCCCAGAAGACTACTTTCGCCATGTCAGATTCCTATTCAGAAATCTTTTGGAGGGCCAGCAGTCTGGTGTAGTGGGTAAAGCCTCCACCTGTTTCACCAGCATCCTGTATGGGCACCAGCTCAAGCCCTGGCTGCTCCACTTCTGATCCAGCTTCCTGATAAGGCACCTGGGAAAGCAGCAGAAAACGGCCCAAGTGCTTGGGCCCCTATGCCCACGTGGGAGACCTGGATGAAGCTCCTGGCTCCTGGCTTCAGCATGGCCCAGCCCCAGCCATTGTGGCCATTTGGACAGTGAGGCAGCAGATGGAAGATCTCTCTCCTCCTCTCTATGTATCTCTGCCTTTCAAATAAATAAATAAAATTTTTAAAAAGAGAAAAGGGAAAAAAAAGAAATCTTCTGGGACTTCCCATGCAGATACGGTTAAATTCCAATTCCTTCAGCTGAGACTTGAAGCTTGAGTTCAGTTTGCAAATAGATAAGGCAGGGGAGGGGTGACTCACAGCAAGAGGTTGCAGCAGGGAGTGGGTGGGGGAGAGACAGGTGCAGTCAGTGACCTGCAGAGTCCCATTCTGTCATTTCCTGGGGAACTCTTGGCAACTTCCAAGTTTCTGCACCTGCCTTTGGGAGCCTGGAGGGACCTGGGCTGTATTAGGAACCCCAGAACTAAGCTTGTTATTCCTCTTTCATGTAGGCCCTCACAAATCACACAAACATCACAATCACACCGATCCTGCCTGTCCGCTGGAAGCAATGATGGTGGCCTCAGCTAATGAATATCATCGAGGGACTGAGATCATAATGAATGTTAAGAAATGAAGGGAAAGCAATTTCAACCAGAGTAGGTTGAATTTGTCCTAAACAGAAGGTCTGACTCCATAATTTCAATGCCTTTTTGTGTTTTCTGTCAATTCTCCAAACTTAAATGTGAACCATTAGAGCACTTATCATATTGCATTTTAATTACAGGTCTCCTTGCCATCTCTCTGGTCTTCCAGACTGTGGAATCTTCCTTTAGCACCATCTTTTATTAGCCTTTTAAACAAAGCACCTGTCATAAAGTCTGGTCCACAATAGACACTCTATAAGTGGTAAGCGAATTCTGTCCCATTGCTGTGCTGAGCCATGTCTAAGAACCCAAGACTATGATAATTTGTCTTTTCTCTGAAGTTTCAGGGCACTGGTCTGGTCTATTCATATATTTTCATGAATTGCTTTACAACTTTTAAATGGGTTCTGAAAGTTCATTGGAATATTTTCCACTCGCAGAAAAAAAACATGTTACAAATGTGATCATTGCCTAAGCTAGCCCACAAATCCCATTTTTTTTTTAAAGCCAGCATATTCAGCTCCGCAGCGCTTATGGAATACTCAAGTCTGCACTAGAGATAAAGCAGTGAGTAGGGTCTGTCTTCAAGGAGCCCACAATCCAAGAGAGCGGTGAAGGGTGACACCACCTCGCAGGGCACAGAGTGGGGAGTGTTAACTCTGGTGGCCATCACAAAGGCTTTCTAGGGAAGGTGACAGCTGAGCAAGGTTTTGAAGGTGAATTGTTCAGCCGGGTGGCAAGACTGGAAGGGAGGGAATTCTGGGAGAAGCAGGAGAGACAGAGAGGCCTGAAGAGCCGCCAGGCTGGGCGGCAGGGCAGGTGAGTGACCTGGGGTCTGGGGCCGCAGGGGAAGCAGAGAGCTTTTAAGGGACCGAAGGGCTTGGCCTTTAGTCGGTAGGTAATGGGGATGCTTCGGGAAGAGAAGTGCTGAGATGACTCCCGTCCGGTTGCAGAATGGAGAGCATGGGTTGGGGGTGCAGTTGCCACGGGCAGAGGCCAAGAGGAAGGCGTCTGGCCAGCCCACGTGGGACGTAGGCAAGGTCTTCAAAAATCCCATGACAATGCACACTACGAAAAAAAAAAAAACTATGCCTGGATTTCAAAAATATTTTTACACCAAAATAAACTTCTTCCACAAACTTTTTGAAGCACCCTTGAAGCAAAGGTTGGAGCCAAGGTCATCCAAGCGTCCTCATGTCTTTCCCATTGGCCTCCCTTGCCTTTTCCTCCACTTCTGCAGTCCCACATTCTCCCGAAGAACGGAGGTGGACCGCGGGCTCCGGCGAGGGAGGGGGTTTCGTGTTGAGATGAGGCTGGTGTGTACTGGTGGAGCTTCCTAGCGCGTGTCGTCTCTCCCACTAATACTCCAAGCCACTCCAGGGTGGAAGCCGCCTCCTCTCACCTCGCTCCCACGCCCTGTGCAGCCTCTAGTGCAGAGGTCTCCTATATGCTACACCAGTGAAGCGCTGTGAATTCAGATGTGTCACCAACCCAGATATCCTGAGATACAGCACCCGTGTCCCGTGCATGCTTTGTTCCCTGCCGGTGTGTTGTATGCACACGAACACTAAGGAAAACCACACAATATCAACAATTTAACCCGGGCTGGGTGCTGGTCCTCACCCTGGTCCTGACTCAATTCCACTGCCCAGCCAGGGGTTCAGTTAATTTCTCTAAGATTCAGATGAGGCTCTGGCCCCCTCCATTTGAGTAATGGTGTCTGGGCACCCTCGGAGTAAGAATCAAGTGACAGATGTGTCACTTTTCAAACATGGCTGGCAATTACAGGGTGGTTTTTTTTTTTCTTTTCCTTTTTTAATTCAGTGAGAACAAAATTATTTAATAACCTGTATAAGATTTGTAATCACCAGAAATTTCAAATATGGCAAATCAAACAGAAATAATTGGCTCTCGATGAGGATTTGGGAAATGCTTTGGGATCCCCCAGGACTCTCGTTAAGACCTTGGTTTTTATGGTTCTGTGGGTGTGTTTGGCAAAGGGAAAGCTCTGTGGACAGGGGAGTTGGGAGTGTTGAACAGACCTGGTGAAGATAATGTTGCATTTATTCCTTCAACACACATTTAATGAGTGGCAATATGGTTTAGTCACCAAAATGCAAACCTAAGAAATAGTGGAAAGAATAATGCATGTGAGTCAAACAATGTGGCTTGGGGGCTGGTGCTGTGGCGTAGTGGGTAAGGCTGCTGCCTGCAGTGCCAGCATCCTATGTGGGCGCCAGTTCAAGACTCGGCTGCCCCACTTCCGATCCAGCTCTCTGCTATGGCCTGGGAAAGCAGTAGAAGATGGTCCAAGTCCTTGGACCTCTGCACCACGTGGGAGACCCAGAAGAAACTCCTGGCTCCTGGCTTTGGATCGGCACAACTCCAGCCGTTGTGGCCATCTGGGGAGTGAACCAGTGGGTGGAAGACCTCTCTCTCTCTCTCTCCCTCTCTCTCTGCCTCTCCTTCTCTCTGTGTAACTCTGACTTTCAAATAAATAAATAAATCTTTTTTTAAAAAAAAAAAAGCAGAACTGGCAATGTGGCACAGCGGGTTAAAGCCCTGTCCTGAAGCACTGGCATCCCATATGGGCGCCAGTTCTAGTCCCAGCTGCTCCTCTTCCCATCCAGCTCTCTGCTATGGCCTGGGAAAGCAGTGGAAGATGGCCCAAGTCCTTGGGCCCCTGAACCCATGTGGGAGACCCGGGAGAAGCTCCTGGCTCCTGGCTTCAGATCAGCGCAGCTCCAGCCATTGCAGCCAACCAGGGAGGGAACCAGCGAATGGGAGACCTCTCTCTCTCTACCTTTCTCTGTAACTCTGTCTTTTAAATAAATAAAAATAAATCTTAAAAAAAAAGGCAATATAGCTTGACTTCGGGGTCTCCTCTGTACCCAGGGGTAAAAAAAAACCTCTCTGAGTTGTGATGAGCCCTGCACAGCACCCATCTCACAAGTGGCATCTCTGCTCTCACACAGTGGGATCTCCTCTCTTTCCTTTTAGGGAGCTTAAAATCTGCAAGTGAATACAAACATCAAACAGCCACAGAATGGCCTTGAAGCAGAGGATAATGTTGCATTAATGTACAGCAAAATTCTCAGCACCAAACACAGGGATCTGCAGCTGTCCGGAGGGACACTACTAGAATACTCAAGGTAATTTTTCAAAAAGCCATTCTAAACAAGCATTGACTTAAATTCATCTTTAGCTGAGTTTCAGCTTTGTGGCACTTTAAAAATCTGAAATATTTAAAGTAAATTAAATAGTGCATACGACTGGGCATTGAAGGTGTTTAGGGAACAATTTCACAGTGGATGACCCAAGCCTTCCTGTCTGATGGAAATTCACATTTCCTTGGGGTGGGGGGAGGAGCAGAGTCCTAGCAACAGGGGAGGAGACGAGGACACGGGCAGTGTGACTGGATTCGAGATGGTGAGAGCTTGCACAGGAGGCTTGGGCAGGCCCCCCCGCCTCGCTTTACTGACGACTGTGTGAAGATGGTTTTTGTGGTCTGAGCCTGCATTCAACCAAGTGAGGAAGCTGGGACAAGCGATGTGGGCGGGGCTCCCAATCCATCCGCAACCCTGCAGCGTGAGTCCGACCTTGAGGTGCTGGTGGCCATGCAGTTCCCTGGGAAGCCAGGGGCTCACACTTTACCTTCTCAACCCTCACCTCCCCAACCCTCCCCTCCCCTCTGGCATTTTTTGGGGTCATTTCTGGCCCCGTGGTTTGTTGTATGGTGAGTGGCTGATGCTACTACAGCAGGAGATGGACGTGGGGCCACCTCTCCAGCAGCAGGGAGAAAGTCAGGTTGGGCGTCCCACATGCTCTTGTCCACCCACAGGGTGGGACTTGGCACGAACAGAACCCAGGGCCCTTCTGGGTTATCAGTGGGAGACTGGGCATTGGACTTGAACCTCATCCAAGTTGAGGGTTGTGTCAGCCACCTGAGGAAGGAGCCAGAAACCCCACATCCGGGGCACAGATGCCAATGGAACTAGCCTGGAGCCAGGAGAGGACACCCCGAACTAAACCATGCGGGAGAAGCCGAGTTGGTAAAATGAGGAGGAAAGCAGCTCACTCAGGAGGTGCCAGCCAGAAGCAGCTTGGATGAATCTCACCTGATCGCTGTTGACCCGACTGCAATGGCTTTCTCTCTAATGGCATCGGAAAGACTGAGAGCTTTTGGCAGGACTGCAGGAGGCAGCCTGTGCCTCTGGCTCCGAGCAACCCCTCCCGGCCCTCAGGGAGGAACAAGCTCACAGACTTCTAGTGCTCAGAACTTAAAAATTCACAAAGCAATTGGTGTCCAATATAATATCCAGGTCCTGTGAAAATCCACTGCTAGTCCCCATTTTCAGCCACAGGGTAATAAAAATGAGAGGCTGGCGAGAGATCATTCCACCTTTAATGTGTGGAGCCCAGTCTTGGGCCTCCCTTCCTATCCCATGCTGAAACTGTGCCTTGGTTGTGTTCACACCAGATTCTAGCCCACCCAACCACATGGAAGCTGGAGCTGTTCCTGACTCTGGGCTCACAGGTTGAATGGCAGTCTTGTGGGTGGAGTCTAATAATTAGCCATTAACTTATTTCTAGTCTCACCTGGAATAGCCCAACCTGAGGCCCACAATGATCCTTGGAACAGTGTGGTGGAATGAGAAGGCCATGGCAAGATGGCCGCTGGCAAGCAAATGTCAGTTACTCAGGAATGGCTTCGAAACCCACCTGGCAATGGAGCCTGCCTGGCAACAGGCTGTGATTGGATGGCTTTGGAAACTGCCTGGCAACAGGCTGTGATTGGATGGCTTTGGAAACTGCCTGGCAACAGGCTGTGATTGGTTAGGGCATAGACCGCCCCTTGACCGGATTGACTGTTTTGGCTATATAAGCTTCTGTACCAACTGAAATAAACGAGTCTGTGGGCTGCTCGCCTCTGGTCCACTTTCACCCGACTCCCAGGTCTGTGTGGTGACTCTGCACCTCTTGCCCCCACCATGCTCCTCCTCTCAGAATGAATCCACTGCAACAGAACAGCATCCATTTCAGCCACTCACTGTCCACCTGTGTTGTGACGCAGTGGCAGGTGATGGCCCTCTCCTTCCTTCCCTATTCGTCCAAACTTCAATTCCTTTACACCATATGACTGTGCCTTAGCATAGCTTTCATCCCTTGGCTCTTAGAAAAGTCTTGGCACACACTTTAACCGCTCTCTCATTATTGGATAATCACCTGTACGAAATCTCCACAAATATAGGTAGCAATCAATCTGCTGTTAATTAATATAAAGCAACCAGTCCCATTAAATTCAAATGTTGCAACGGACATGGTTGGTTGGTTAAATATCAGTGTCATTTATCACTACATCCTTCTTGGGATTGTCCTGGACTTGAAAATATTTTTCATTAACTGGCTGGTATTTAACAGAAATTAATTGTTTGCTATGCATAATCAATTTCATCCCCTGGAAATAAGACCTGGAGCTGCCTTGGAACAGCTGTGAGCATGGAGGTGCTTTCTGGGTGGTTCTCTGAGACACATCATGGTCTCACCTCCCTCATTCGCACTTCACTTCTACATCCCCCTATGCAGCATTTTAACAAGGCTCCATCTAATCAGGCTGTGACTTTGCAAGCTGTGGCATAATTTCTGTCTTTGGACCTGACTCATATTCCAAAATATTTTGTATTCATTAGGGCCACCCTGGGCACTAGTGCTAACACAGTGAGAGAATTACAATCATGAGATAAGTGGGGGAGAGGCGTAACCAAGAACAAGGCAATTCATTTTGTGGTGTCAGGATTTTCAGTTATGGGATCATAATGAAAACAATTGCCATCAACCTGTTCATCTATATTAGTCAGAATTCCTAATGGGACAGAAGTGGCAAAATCCACTGGGAAAAAAAAAGTAATTGAAGCATATAAATGACATCTATTTCCTCAGCTCACTAGGTCCAAGAGAATCAGGCATGGTCGGACCCCTGGATTCAAAGGTTGCTCTCAGAACACCCCTTTCTCCCGCTACATCTCAGCGTTGGTATCTAGGGACTGCTGTAACAATGTTCCCAAACACAGTGCTTTAAAACAATTGAAATGTTTACACAGCAGGGTGAGCTGCTTCATGCCATTGGGCTGTACACTTAAAATGATACATTTTGTGTTAGGCATATTGCGCTATAATTAAAAACACAAAACATAGACATTTGTTCTCCCACTGTTTTGGACGCTATCCGTCTGAAATCAAGGTGTCAGCACAATCGTGTGTATAATGGCATTCCAAAAAGTTCATGAAAAAAAAAAACAGAATGAAAAGATGAGTTTTTGTGTTGAAAGCATAATGGTGGCTATGGCAGGCTGGAGAGAGAAGGGTGGAAGGCTGCAAGGTACTAAGTTATGGAGAGATAGGTGTAAAAAGCTGTGGATTCTACTGCATGATAGGGTGACTGCAGATAATGTTAGGCTACTGTATACTTTTCTAAAAAATATATAGGAATTTGGGAATGTTTTCACCATAAAAATTGTTAAATGTTTTAAAAGATATTAGTTTCCCTAATTGAACACACACTGTATACATTGTATATAATTATACACAACACAATGTGTACATATACCAAAACATCACATACTACCCCATAAATAAGTACAATTTTTAAATGCCTATTAAAAACCTCTAATATCAAAGTTTTTTTAAAGATCTATTTACTTGTTTGTAAGGCAGAGTTACGAAGACAGGGGGAGAGAAAAAGAGAGCGAGAGTTTCCTTCTGCTGGTTCACTCCCCAAATGACTGCAATGGTTTGGGCTACACTGGGCTGAAGGAACCAAGGGATTCATCCAGGTCTCCCACGTGGTGGCGGGGCGGGCCCAAGTACTTGGGCCACCTGCTGCTTTCCCAGGCACATTAGCTGGGAGCTACGTCAGAAGTGGAGCATGGGGGCTGGCTCTGTTGCTTCGAAGGTTAAGCCTCTGCCTGCTGTGCCAGCATCCCACAGGGGTGCCGATTCAAATCTCTGCTGCTCCACTTCCAATCCTGCTAATGCACTTGGGAAAGCAGCTGAAGATGGTCCAAGCACTTGGGCCCTACATCTTTGTGGGAGACCCAGAAAAAATCTGGCCAGCCGCGGCCATTACACCCATTTGGGGAGTGAGCCAGTGGATGGAGGAGCAATTCTTTCTCTCGCATGCACTTTCTCTCTCTCTCTCTCTCTCTCTCTCTCTCTCTCTCTCTCTGTATCTCTGTCTTTCAAATAAAAAAATCTTTCTTTAAAAAAACAATGAAGGGGCCAGCGCTGTGGTGTAGTGGGTAAAGCCGCTGCCTGCAGTGCTGGCATCCCATATGGGTGCCAATTCGGGTCCCGACTGCTCCACTTCCAATCCAGCTCTTTGCTATGGCCTGGGAAAGCAGTAGAAGATGGCCCAAGTCCTTGGGCCCCTGCATCCACTTGGGAGACCTGGAAGAAGCTCCTGGCCCCTGGCTTTGGATCAACACAGCTCTAACTGTTGTGGCCATCTAGGGAGTGAACCAGCAGATGGAAGACCTCTCTCTCTCTCTCTCTCTCTCTCTCTCTCTCCGCCTCTCCTCTCTCTGGCTCTGCCTCTGCCTTTCTGTAACTCTGCCTTTCAAATAAATAAATATATTTGTAAAAAAAAAATAAAAAGTGAAGAAGGCTGCCTTTGATAGATGAGAAAAAATGGACATGTTTTAGTTTGGTGCAAAAAATAATTGTGATCCATTCATTCGAGGGGTGTTCACAAAATTCATGAACAGACACATTATGGAAAAAAAATGCACGGATTTCAAAAATGTTTTGCACCAAAATAAACTTATCTTTTAATTTCAATTTTCATGAGCTGGTTTGGAGTCCCCTTGTGCTCGCTCAGAAGGCCTAGGGAAGGTCCTTCCTGCCTCTCCCAAAACTCTGGGACTCGTTGGCACTTGTTGGCATTGCCTGGTTTGTAAAGACGTCACTCCAATCTGTCCCATGGCAAACTCCCTCTGTGTGTGCCCTGTGTCTCTCGTTTCTTTTCCACTGGACTAGGCAGGGTCCTGCAAGACCCGATCACAACTAACTACATCTGCAGTAACACTATCCCAAAGAAGGCTGCTCTCTGACCGATGGGGAGTATTCGCACGTCAGTATTCATCCCAGTACCACGCTGCTGCTCCATTTGCTTACCTGGCTTTGTTCTCATTCAGGCTCCCTCTAAGTGGCAACAATTGCAACTTCAAGAAACCCTGGCAATCATAGAAAACAGATGAATCCTCGCTGCTGCAAGATCTGTTACTGGATTCTGATTTGGTCCCGCCTGGATCAGGGGGTCACCATGAGACCAATCACCTTCTGAGATGGGAGAGTCAAGCCCGCCCCTGAGACCAGGGAAGTAGGACAAAGAGACTGGCACACAAGCTTTGCTGAAGTTTATGTGGATACAGGACAGGTACAATAGTCACTACAATAGTTCTCTAATGTTCCATGAGTGTATCTAGGTTTCTGTTATGAGAGAGAAGGACCTATCATTATAAAGTACTATTTCCAGGGCTGCTGCTGTGGCATAGTGGGTAAAGCTACTGCCTGCAGTGCCAGCATCCCATATGCATGCCAGTTCAAGTCCCGGCTGCTCCACTTGCAGTCTGGCTCTCTGCTATGACCTGTGAAAGCAGTGGAGGATGGCCCAAGTCCTTGGGACCCTGTACCAGCATGGAAGGTCAGGTGGAAGCTCCCGGTTCCTGGTTTCAGATTGGCACAGCTCCAGCCATTGTGGCCATCTGGGGAGTGAACTGCGGTTGGAAGACCTCTCTCTCTCTCCTCTGCATTTCTGTTACTCCACTTTTCAAATAAATAAATAAATAAATCTTTAAAGTGCTGTTTCCACCTACAGAAACTAGATCATGTAAACTTGACACTTTTAGAAGGTAAATTAAGAGCTCTTTGAGAGCTAGGAATGGATTCATCTCAATCATCTAGCTATATCTATCATCTATATCTCTCTTCCAAAACAAATTTCATTACTGGTTTTGAATATTGGAGTTACAGAGAGAGAGAGAGAGAGAGAGAGAGAGAGAGAGAGATCTTCTCTCTGCTGGTTCACTCCCCACATGGCCACCAATGGCCAGAGCTGGGCCAGGCCAAAGCTAGGAACCAGGAGCTTTTTTCAGGTCTTCCACCTGGGTGGAAGAGCTCCAAGCACCGGGGCCATCCTCCGCGGCTTTTCCCAGGCCATTAGCAGAGAGCTGGATTGGAAGTGGAGCAGCCAGGAATTGCACTGACATCCATATGGGATGTCGGTGTCCCATGTGGGAGCTTTACCCACTATGCCACAATGCCAGCCCTTCTACCTACATCTTTCCACTCATCTACCTGCATATCTAACACCTGTCTATCTACACACACATTATATATGTACACTTGTATAAGTACACACACAAAGATATTTCAGAAAGTTCATGGAAAACGAAATTGAAAGAATGACTTACTTTGGTGCAAAACCTTTTTGAAATCCATGATAATCTTTTCACAATACCCATTTCCACATATTACTAAAACAATTTTTACATCCAAAGTTTTTTGCACCAAAATACATTCACAGCTTTGATTCCATTTCCCATGGACTTTTTAAAGTACCCTGTGTTTGTGTATCCATGCATAATCTTTCCATAAGAGGCCTTTTGCATGAACTTTTTAAAGGTCTCTTGGATGCATGGTTTTCAAAAATATCTTGCACCAAAACAAAATTTTATTTTAATTCCATTTTCCATGAGCTTTTTGAAGTACCCTCATATTTATGAATGAGAATGGATTCAACGTGATTTATAGCAGGAATGCAGCAAAACCCCTGATTTTCATTCAGATATTTGAGTCAGAAACGTGGAGGGGAGGATCCTTAGATGACACAGAAGGGTGACATGTGTGTGGCACGTGGGTACATTTAGAAGTGAGGGTATTCCGAGCATGAGTAAGTTGTTACAGGGAGACTTAAAGCGGATTGTAAACCCTCCCTCCACCCGCACGCCAGCTGAGTTCCATTTTGTAGCACTTCTGTTCTCCCTCAGGTGTCGAGTAGAAGCGTCACCCTTTCTCCTAGAGGGCAAGGTGTAAGGCTCCACTGAAGGGACCGTGCCATCCAGGAAGGGGGAGGAGAGATAGTTTGCATCCTTTCCATCTATAGCATTCGGGCAGAAGCAGGCAATAGTTCCCGGCAACCTGAACCTTGGGCTGCTTTTCTACCTGCAACTTACTGCCGCAAGATTTACCTAGACAGACAAGCCTGCTGTCGTCTCATTAATTTGCTTAATCAGCAAATGGGTACCACGGACCCATCGGTTACATTCGGGTAGGACCCGAGCATCCTCCACGAGGCTCCATTTGCCTGGGCCTGCTTATGCATCAGTTCACAACCTGCTCTCCCAGGACGCTGACAGCCTGAACAGCGGTTTAGACTTGAGCACCACACAGACACTTGGAGACAGTGTTTCCTGACCTTGTCTCACCTCACCTAATGGAAAGAGGGCCATGATGTTTTTTCCTGCCTCCTCGGAGCTAGCAGTGGTTTTTGACAGCTCCCAAACTAATTTAGTTGCCAGAACCTCAGCAGCATCCTGGCGCCCAGCAGGTGCACGGCACTCACCTGTCCTCAGCCCGGATGCTGTCCAGGTGTGGTGCCTGACACACTTGGAGGAAGCACGCAGGCCCATGAATCAGAGACGAAGGTTTGAAAGCAAGAGGAGGGGAGGAGAGCCGAGGGACCAGGGAAGGAAGGAGTAGTCAATAGTAAAGATAACATGGGCAGGGGATCGAGGGAAGAGCACACTACCCTGGCCGTGGAGAGTGACCAATTCGTCTCTTCCTGGGACTCGCCCAGCATTGAAACGGAATCCCTTTCATTTTGCCTCTGTGCCCCTCTGCCCCAGCAGGCACTGTCTTCTCTATAGGCTGTGCAGCCTGGCAGACAAGGGCTTTGGCTGTGGAGTCAGCCAGCCCGAGGTCCCTTCCTTCACACGCATCTGTCTCGCTAACTGGTACTGGGCCCTCAAAAGGCAGCTTAAGTACTACTCCCCCCAACCATGCCTGGTCCCTGCAGTGCCCCCTGCAGTGTGGGGTGGTCTAGTCTTATTCATCTGATACTGAGCACAGTGTGTGAGGCCTGGATGGGATCCAATCAGCATTTGTTAAATTTGCGCATGGATAAATGAATGGATCTGCAGCTCCATGGCCAGCCTGGATCTGCTACCCTCGGTCCTCAGCTCACTACATAACACAGGCTACAGTGAAAGACAAAGTGGACATGTGTTCCTCAAATGCACACCATGCACCACCAGCAAGTTGGGTGGCTCAGCTTGGCTCTCCCACGGGTGGGAGGCAGAACCATTTTCGTCAAAGCCATGCACTCCTCTGAAGCGTTGAAGAAAACTATCATTTAACGAAAGTGCTTCCCCAGCCTTGTCTTGTTCCCTGGATTCCCTCTATGTATTGCTGGCTGTCATATGAAACTGAACTCTGCATCAGCCCCAGTGATGGTGAACTCCTTAGCTCACCCACCCGTTGTTGGGGAAAAGCTGTTTGCACACTATCTCTGGACAAGAGATGAATCTCTAACAGATCTCACCGATATGAATGTGTTCTCTGCTGGAAATGCGGAATCCACAAACCTGACATCTAGAAATTCAGTTTTCACCCCGACTGCTGCTGAGACAATGGTGAAATACCTTAACATGTGGAGATGTAGGAGTTGAAACATGAGCGAAGTGGAAGCAGTGTGCAACACGATGTACATTTTGAAGACATGCTTTACAATGCGGCTCGACTTATTCTCACTCAGCCTCCTGTTTAAACTCTTGTGCTATTTAATAGGTTGCCACGAGAAGTCGTCCGGGCAGCACAGACCCCTGACGGTGCAGGAATGGAGGCATCCATGAAGGTCAATGCCAACAACCAAGGTCCTTGGCAGCTCCCGCCAGCCCTGCCTGCTGCAGAAGAGATGGGACTTGCAAAGTAGTGTAAACAATAACAGAAATGTCGGAGTCTCCTCTGTTGCTAAATGCTTTGCTGGGGATAGTTAAGAAATCGTCACAAATCTCTGTTCTTGGGCACCCGTTCAGAGGCCTGGAAACCCTAACCGAAGGGGAGCATCGGGGTTCCAGTTTGCTGAAATGCAGCCTCTGTTCCCTTCGCAGGGAGGGAGATCATTTTCTGCTCATCTTTCAATCGGATTAATAGGAGGAAGGCTCTACTATGGCAAACAGAGCTCATGACTTGCTGGATAGCCTGGGGCAAGCCAACAGCCCTGACCGTCCCTATTCTGGGTGGCACCCACAGCCGGGTTGTGGGGTTCAGACAGGAAGTTTCATGTGAACTCTCAGCACCATGCAAACAGGAGCAATCCAGCCATAAGTTACTTATTTCTAAAAAAACTGCTGGTCATCATTTCATATTTCTTTACTGCCTCATAAACATGGTAGAACTTCCCAATCTCTAGCGGTATAATTATTTTTTAAGATTTATTTTATTTGTTTGAAAGAGTTACAGAGAAAGGTAGAGCCATAGGGAGAGAAAGGTCTTGCATCTGCTGGTTCACTCCCCCCAGATGGCTGCAATGGCCTGAGCTGCGCTGATCCAAAGCCAGGAGCCAGGAGCTTCTTCTGGGTCTCCCACGTGGGTGCAGGGGCCCAAGGACTTGGGCCATCTTCCATTGTTTTCCCAGGCCATAGCAGACAGCTGGATCAGAAGTGGAGCAGCCGGGACTTGAACCGGTGCCCATACGGGATGCTGGCACTGCAGGCGGCAGCTTTACCTGCTACACCACAATGTCGGCCCCCTGGTGGTATAATTTCAAGCTTTGATAGTGGCATCACAGGCAGAGTTCCTAAAGGTAGACCACTAAGAAGGGAAATGGCAATGGTAGATCTCACCACAAGGTGGCACTATTGAAGACCTTTCTTTGCCTTGATGACAACAGACAGGACACTGGAGGGATGGGGTCAAGAGTATTAAGGAGGCCTGTGTACCACATGTTTAATTATTTAAGAGTTAAATCAATCTAGTACAGAGGGTCAATAGAATATGCTTCCTATCTTGCAAAACATCTTCCTAATGCAATGGTAGGTCAAGTGCAAATTTAGAACTCTGAGACTCCTCAATTGTGGGCTGAACTGGGTGGCGTCCAGCCTCCCACCGCTGCCAGCCTTGCCTGTGCCCCGAGGGCCTTGCACATGAACTTCCCAATGCCATCCATATCCCTGTGCCCTCAGCATGGGGCCACCCTGCGGCCTGTGCAGGATCTGGAAGCTCGCGGCAGGGGAGGGGGCAGTTGTGCAGGGGCTGGTGAGGCCCTGGGACCCAGACAGGTCTGCATCAGGGGTCAGCTGCTTCTCTGTAAAGGGTGAGGTGGTAACTGTTGGGGTGTTATGGGTAAGATGGTCTCTGTCACAGTGATGTGTATCATGAAGTAGCCCTCGGCAAGACATAAGTGAGTGGGTGTGGCTGTGTTCCATACTGGAGTGCTTGGTTCAAGTCCTGATTACCCTGCTTCTGATCCAGCTTCCTGTTAATGTGCACCCTGATAGGCAGCAAGTGATGGCTCGCGCACCTGGGACCCTGCCACTCATGTAGGACACCTGGATTAAGTTCTTGGCCTTTGCAACAGCCTGGCCCAGCCCTGGCTGTCGCAGGTATTTGAGGAATGGATCAGTATATGAAGGATTTTCTCTCTCTCTCTCTCTTTCTGCCTTTCAAATAAAAATAAATTTAAAAAATAAAAATAAATAAGAAACAAGTGGTTGTTTATCTGAAATTCAAATTGAACTGCATAGCCTGCCTTTTTATTTGCTAGATCTACCCACGCTAGCTGGGGTGGCAGCTCTGGGGAGGGCGGGCCCTTCAACCCTGTGACCGCCTCGCCCCTCTGGGCCGGCCACAGCCAGAGGGGGACCAGAGTGAGGCCGCCAGAGCACAAGGCCTGGGTCAGGACCAAGCTTCTCCAGGTCTGAGGGCAAATTTGAGTGACTTTTAAGGGATCATTTCTGTGCTCTTCAAGCATAAATAGAATGTGCAAATATCACAATTGAAAAAAGCTGATTTGCATAGTTTGGGCGTTTATTTATTTAACCAGTGTGTATCAAGTTCCTGCTGTGTGAGAGGCACTGGGGTAGAGACAATGGTGCTCCCAACAGGGAGAAAGAGGGGTCATCCCTGTCTTCCAGGGGCTTATTCAGGGGAGGCCGGGAGCGCAGAAATTCCCGTATTCCTGCATCACTGAGAACCACACGTTGGAAGGCAGTGAAGAGAAGACGGTGATAACCAGCAGAGAAGTGGACTGGGCGTCCCTTGACATTTGGGCTGAGCCTCGAGCGGACTTAAGAGTCGGTTGACCATGGAATTGAGATCTGCTTATTTTGGTGTGAAAACAATTTCAAAACTCATGCATAATTTGTTCAGAGTTCACTGTCCAGGAGCATTTTGGAAGACCCTGCATGTTAAGGACACTAGCAGGTGATGAGTGAAGGCTGGGGGGAGGGAGAGGATTCCAGGAAACTTCTGGACGCTCTTGAGGGAAGACACTGAGTGATACCTGAGCGAGAGTGGTGACGGACGGGGCGGGGGTGGGGGGAGGTGCTGCCCGCCCTGTGAGCTCCCAGGTGGTTTCAATGGAGGGACTATGCGCCAGCTCTCACTGCCAAAGCTCACATTTGGTGATTCTCCCTGCAGAGTGGAAGGGGTGTGAGGAGGAGCAGGAGGGAGGAGACTTAGCTAGGAGGCCATTGCAGTAGTGCCCACAAGAGGGGATGGTGGGAAGGGCACAGCTTTGGGAAGCCTGCACAGGTGCAGGATGGGAAGCAGGTGGAGTAGGAGAATGGGGGAACATTCTGGATTCCTGGCTTTGCCCATAAAACTGAAGATACGTAATGCCACCAGGTGAGCAGGCAGAGACCATGTCTGCAGCTCAGATGAGAGGTCTGGGCTAGGAATGGAAGATGGCGGTGGGTGCCCTATGGAAGGCATCTACAGTCATGAGAACCGCTGGGACCTTCTCGGGGAAGAAGACAAAGGGGCCTGCAGTGGACCCCCTGAAGGTCTTCAATGTTTAAGGGAGGAAAAATAGAAAAGGAAGAAAACAAGACAGGGCCGTGCCCTAAGAGCCAAGAGAAGGGAATGTTCTGGAAAGTTCTATCTTTGGTAATTCCTGGATCAGTTACTGACATTCCTAGAGAATCTGTGGGGCCCCTTTTCATCACTGCCTCCCTTATCCCATATACTTGCTGTGTTCAGGATGCTTGAGGGGCTGCTGCTGTGGCATAGCCGGTTCGAGTCCCGGCTGCTCCACTTCTGATCCAGCTGTCTGCTATGGCCTGGGAAAGCAGTAGAAGATGACCCAACTCCTTGGGCCCCTGCACCCACATGGGAGACCCAGAAGAAGCTCCAGGATACTTGAAAGACCAGGCTGGCTGGCACCATGGCTCAATAGGCTAATCCTCCACTTGTGGCGCCGGCACCCCAGGTTCTAGCCCTGGTTGGGGCACCGGATTTTGTCCCAGTTGCCCCTCTTCCAGGTCAGCTCTCTGCTGTGGCCCAGGAGTGCAGTGGAGGATGGCCCAAGTGCTTGGGCCCTGCACCTGCATGGGAGAGCAGGAGAAGCACCTGGCTCCTGGCTTCGGATCAGTGTGGTGCGCCGGCCGCAGCGGCCACTGGGGGGTGAACCAACAGAAAAGGAAGACCTTTCTTTCTGTCTCTCTCTCTCACTGTCCACTCTGCCTGTCCAAAAAAAAAAAAAAAGAAAGAAAGAAAAGACGAGACTGACAAACACAAGCAAAAACATGAACAGCTCTCAACTGTCACTCATGCGAGGATCTACACACTCACCCTTGGCGGACTGAGGAAAAGGACAGAAGGGTGACTTTGGAATGAGTGAAAGAAGATCATCATTCCCTTCCATCATTGGCTAGGAAACAGGTTTTGAATCTTCTAGAATTTTCTTTAAAGCGACATCCATGGAAGGAAGGGGCTCCTAGAACAAGTCTCATGCCCACTGGCCTTTCCAGCCTGGCACCTTGGTCAGGCACACTGGGCCAGGAACCTGGGAGAGTCCAGGATGCTGGGCGCCGGGTGCTGTTCCGACCGTGGAGTTCCTGTGACTCACGTCAGTGACATTTCTTGGTTCCTGGTAAATAACCTTGTGTTTTGACCTGTAACAATGTGAAATGCTAACAAAGCCGGGAGAAAATTAAAATCCCCTGATGTGGCTTGGAGGCGGCATAAGCAGATGCTGTTCAGGTGACAGAAGCTCTCCCAGGACTGGGGATGGAACAAAGGAAGAGAAAGGTCACACAGGAAACAGCGGTGTGGTGAAATGCCAACGCAGCAGAGTTTACCCAGCCAGGGAGGTGGGTGACTTTCACAGAAAGAATTCCAAGCCAAGGGCCCCTGTCGGGCCTGAGCCCCGCGAACCGGGCAGAAGGGGAACTGATGGTTACAGAAGACCTGAGCCCGTGTTTGCTCCATTGGAGTGACGTCTGGTGTGCCACAGCGCTTCACCTGTACTGCAGCACTTTAGAGCAGCCCACCTGCCTCCTCGTGTATATCACCGGGCTAGGTGGTCGTGGCAGGAAGTAGGATTCCCATCTGGCAGGGCGGGGAGGGAGAAAGGCTCAGAGAAACTATTTGCCCAAGGTCACACAGTGACCCAGTCAGGTAGTGGTCAGACCCCAGACCTCCAGAACGTCTGGGTTCAGAGTCCAGGTGCCCGGGTTTGAGGCCCAGCTTTCTGCTGACCTGCGCCCTGGGAGGCAGCAGGTGCTGGCTCACGTCGTAGCCCGCCAGCCGCCCACCTGGGAGACCTGGGCTGGAGGACGTGGTGTCACCAGCAGTCTCACACTCTCTAAACTGGTACAGCTCCCGCAGGTGGGGGATCCATCTGACAGCCCCTACTCCAGCGGATCATATATGTAACCCATGGCCAACAGTGCTCCTCCTCATGGATGGATATGTGTGTTCACCAGAGGACGGAACTACGGTGTCCATAGCACCATTATTCATCCAGTCTCAAAGTGGAAATTGACCAAATGCCCACATCAGCAGCAGGATAGATAAATAATGGCCTGGCCTCACAGCTGAATATAATACAGCAATCAAAGTGAACCATGGCAGGGCAGAGGGCTCCTGGCGGTGGTCATGCTCGGGGGTCTTGGTTTGGGAGCTGCTTATGGAAGTGTGTTCCATTTATGAACACTCGGACTCTACACTTGTGATGTGTGTACCTCACTGAGTGCGCTGTGTACCTCCAGAAAAACTGCTTTGAGGAATTAAAAGGGGGGTCTGTGTACCAGCACTCCTAGCTCTCCTACTGCTTCTGCTCCTATCATCTGACAAGGTGCAGGTGGGGAGCGGAGAAGAAGGAAAATTCTTTTCCCAGGTACCTCCTAATGCATGGGCTGTCTTGGCAGATTTCTCTCTTTTCTCTTTTCCTTAATGTACCTTTTGGCTTTGATCTCAGCTCCTTTGAAAGGCCTGATCCGAAGGAAGCTTTGAGACTGGCAAGGAAACCTGGTTGTGGGGAGGAAGCCCCCACTCACGTTGCACGTTTGGGTGGTGGGTTGATCCCGGGAGCCAGAGGCAGGGTTAAGTCCTGGAGGCTTCGCATGGATGGATGGAGCTGCTTGCTGTTGTCTGCATCAGGCACATTTACATTTAGACAGATATCAGGAGCAGCAGCTGTGGGCAGGACGAAGTTAAACGACACATTCAGAGCCAAGAGAGCTGGTTGGGAGCCTGTTTTAATGATTCAAGCAAGAAATAAACCACTTGAGTACTTCCAAAAGTTCATGGAAAATGGAATTAAAAGATAAGTTTGGTGCAAAAAATGTTGAAATCCATGAATAGGAGAGGTCTTCAAAGAGTTCTTGGAAAAGGCAAGCTTTGAAAAAAAAAAAAAACTATGCATGGATTTCTACAGGTTTTGCACTGAAATAAACTTTTCATTAGCTTCTTCAGTTTTTAGCAGTACAGGCAGGTGTCACGGGGCTTCATTGTCCCTTCCTGTCCTCTCCACATCACCCACCTGTCGGTGACAATGCAGGGGCAGATGCTGATGTCAGGAGAGCAAGGAGATGGAGACAGAGGCAAGTGACAGGGATTGACCGGGAAGAAAATGCAGCCGGAGGAAGACAGGACTCCAGGCTCACGGTCAAGTGAAGCTGGTATTTAACGTAGCAAGTTTACCACCAGGCACCCATTAAGAGCTTCCGGGAGTTTAGTTCCCCCTGTGATAACTCAAGCTGGCTTTGATCATTTAAAAAAAAAATCACATTTTGTTTTTCCAGAACAGTTTGGTCTTTGTTCCTTAAGCAAACATTGATTTATTTCCTCCTTTCTGGGCAAAGATTCCTGTAGCTGCACTGTTCTGGCTAAAATAACTATTCTTGTACTCCCAAGTCTCTGTAGCCTGCTTGGTAGGGAGAGAATATTTCAGCCTCTCGCAGCTGCACACAGACAAATAGAAGGTAAAGGAAAAGTTGCCACCCTCTGGGCTTGCAACCACCAGAAACCAGAGTTCAAACTTATAAATAGTCAGAGGCAGGAGCGGGGGTGTCAGGCTCAGAAAAAAGCACACGACGCTGTAGCCTTTGCACATC